CCCCAACTTCCACAGGTACCCACTGCACCCCCAAACCCCTGTACCCCCAAACCCTGGCACCCCATTTCCACAGGTACCCACTGCATCCACAAACCCCATCACCCACAAACCTTCCATTCCCCCACTCCCACATTTACCCACTGCACCCCAGCACCCCCAACCCTCCCCACTTCCACAGGTACCCACTGCACCCCAAACCCTGCTGCACCCCCACTTCCACAGGTACCGCCAAGACCCCACCGCACCAAGTACCCCCTGCACCCCTAAACCCCACTCCCCCTGCTGAGATCCAGCCTAGGGGGAAGAGCACCCACTTCCCCAAGTAACCCCCCGGCCCCAACACTCACCGCCCCCTGACCCCCATATTGTCAGCCCTGAGTCTGCCCCTCCCCCCCCAGGCTGCAGCAGGACACCGGGGTCCCCTTCGCCCAGATGCTGTTCTTCGACGACGAGGAGCGCAACATCCGGGACGTCAGTAAGCTAGGTACGGGGGGGGGACCTCAGAACCCCCCTGGGGGTGCCCCCAGCCCTCCTGGGCAGGACTCCCCTGCCAGCCCCACATGGGTGAATGTTGGGGGAGGGTTCAGGGAGGGAGTAGGAGGAGGGTTCAGGGACTGAGATGTTGCGGGGGGAGGGGAGCAAATGGAAGGGTGGGGCGGGGATGAATAGTGGGGGTCACCCCTTCTCTCCTCTTCCCCCACAGGTGTCACCTGCATCCTGGTCCCTGATGGAATGACCCAGGCGCTCCTCACCCGGGGGCTGGAGGCCTTCACTCGCTCCTGACCCCCCCACCACCGGTGCCCCCCCCGCCACTCCTCCCCCCCCGCCAAGGGGCAGAATAAACTCCGGAGTGACTGAGCCTCTATCTCCCTCTGTGTGAGCAAGGGGGGGATAACAGCCTACTACAGCTGCAGGCACGGGTGTGTGATAACAACCTGCTAGTGTGTGTGTGTGTGGGGGGGGGTCTGAGACAGATAACAGCCTACTACTGTTGTGTGTGTATGTGTGTGTGTGAGAGAGAGAGAGTGAAACAGAGAGAGGGGAGAGAGAACAACCTACTACTGCTCTGTGTGTATGTGTGTGTGTCTGAGAGAGAGAGAGAGAGAGAACAACCTACTACTACTGTGTGTGTGTCTGAGAGAGAGAGAACAACCTACTACTGCTGTGTGCATGTGTCTGAGAGAGAGGGAGAGAGAACCTACTACAGGTATGTATGTATGAGAGAGAGGAAGAGAGAAGCTAGTACTGCTGTGTTTGTGTGTAAGAGAGAAAGAACAACCTACTACAGCTGCAGGCCACGTGTGTGTGTGTGATAACCTGCTACTGTGTGTGTGTGGGGGGGGGGTGGTCCATGACAGATAGCTTACTACTGCTGTGTGTGTGTGAGAGAGAGAGAAAACAACCTACTACTGCTGTGTGTGCGGGAGAGAGAGAGAGGGAGAGAGAGAGTACAACCTACTACTGCTGTGTGTGTGGGAGAGAGAGAGAGGGAGAGAGAGAGTACAACCTACTACTGCTGTGTGTGTATGAGAGACAGGGAGAACCTAGTACTGCTGTGTTTGTGTGTAAGAGAGAGAACAACCTACTACTGCTGGTGAGGGGGGTGTCAGAGACAGACAACAACCTACTACCGCCGTGTGTGCGTGTGGCTGAGTGAGATAACCTACTACTGCTGCTGGTTGTGCGGTGGGGGCTGCTCAGTGTCCCAGCTGCTGTGGGGGAGGGGAAATAACAACCTACTGCTGCTGCCAGCAGTGCTGTGCCGCCCTAGGGCTGGGATCCTGCTGGGGCCCTGAATCTCCCCACCCCCCCGATCTTTCCTACTTGTACTGAACTTTGGGGGGGCTGTGCCAACTCCCAAACTGGGGGTGTTGGAGCCCTTGGAGTGAATGCTAAGGGGGACTCCCTCTGCCCCCCACAGCAGGTGTCGCTGGGAGCACAGGAGAGTCCTGGCCCCAAAGATGTGAAAGTGGGGGGCTGTACCCCAAAACCCCAAGGGTGGCAGAGGGGTCCCTCTCTAGGTGTGAACTTCAGGGGGGCTGTTCTGCCCCCTCTGTGGGGGGGGCAGAGTATTGGGGGGCAGTTCTGTGCTTCCCACTAGGGGATCCCCACCTGAAACCACCTCAGGGTTCACAATTCTGGGGGTTCAGCCCCCCATTTTCTAGCTGCCTTGAAATCAGGGTTCAGGTGGAGGACTCCAAAATAAAAGGTTGAGAGTCTAGAGCGGTTTTCCTGACCCCCTTGGCACGGTGCCCCCAGGTCTTCCCCACTGAGCCCCTCTCTGCCCCCAGCCTCTCCACACTGCACCCCATAGATTTGGGCTCTCTTTATTGGGGGTTCAGCTCCCCTTCTCTGGCACCTTCGCCACCTTCACATGGGTCCCGCTGCCCCCCCGCTTCTTCTCACCGGGCTGAGGCAGGGAGGGGGTCCTGGGCAGCACCCGCCCCCCCTCGGCCCGCACCCCCCAGGCTGCCTCCAGCGCCCGCAGCTCGGTGTGGGGCCGCTCGGCCTGGAAACGCAGGACCCACGGCGTCTGCAGCAGGTCCAGCACTGTGGGGCGCCGGGCCGCCGGGCACAGCAGCCGGTGCACAAGGCCCTGGGGGGGCAAAGTGGAGCGTTAAGGGGCCCCACTGTCTGCCCAGCCCCCGTGGGTCGCTTGCCCCCTCCACTGGGCCTAGCCCCTCTCGATCCACCCAGCCCCCATGAGCCATTCACCCCTCTCTACTGGGCCTGGCTTCCCATGATTCGCCTGGCCCCCCTCAAATGGCACCCAGCCCCCCATGGTCGGCTCACCCCCCTCCACTGGGTCTGGACCCCCTCGATGCGCACGACCCCCCGCCCCACCGATCTGTCCAGCCCCCCTGTGGTCCACTTACCTCTCCATGGGGCCCAGTCCCCCTCGATCCACCCAGTCACCCCATGATCTGCCAAGCCCGCCTCAAACACTGCCCAGCCCCACATGGATCACCCAGCCCCCACAATCCAGCCACCAGTGTCCAGCCCCCCGCTGTGTGCCCCCCCCCACTGCCCAGCCCCCCTATCATCCACCTACCCCCCCTACTGCCCAGCCCCCCCAATGTACATCCGCCCAGCCACACAAGGATGTGCTGGGTGCTGACTGCCAGTCTGGCCCCCAGCGCCCCCTGCTGGCCAGCTCCCCGACTCCCTGCAGGCCACGCAGCGCCCCCTGCTGGCCAGCTCCCCGACTCCCTGCGGGCCACGCAGCGCCCCCTGCTGGCCAGCTCTCCGACTCCCTGCGGGCCACGCAGCGCCCCCTGCTGGCCAGCTCCCCGACTCCCTGCGGGCCACGCAGCGCCCCCTGCTGGCCAGCTCTCCGACTCTCTGTGGGCCACGCAGCGCCCCCTGCTGGCCAGCTCCCTGACTCTCTGCGGCCCCCCAGCGCCCCCTGCTGGCCTACAGCCCAGTGCCCTCCCCGCCGCCCACCTTGCACTCCTCGGAGACAGGCGGCTGGGGGGGGGAAGACCACCTCCTTCTGGGTCTCCCGCAGCAGGCGCTTGAGGTTGGTGTCGTCGAAGGGCAGGTGGGCCACGGCCAGCGTGTAGAGGATCACGCCCATGCTCCAGGTATCGGCCAGGAAGGGGTTGTAGGGCAGCCCCAGCAGGATCTCGGGGCAGGCATAGGCGAAGCTGCCGCAGTAGGTCTGGCTTAGGGGGCTGACGCCCGCCAGCAGCGGGTACGAGGGGCTGGCGGGCGGCTGGGCCTGCGACACCATCTGCTTGGAGAAGCCGAAGTCCGAGATCTTCACGTTCTCCCGCTTGTCCAGTAGGAGGTTCTCCAGCTTCAGGTCCCTGCGGGAGGGAGCGGGGGGTGGGCGGGGTGCGGGGCTGCCCATAGGGGGCGCCGGGGATGTGGCGCGGGGCCTTTCCCCTCTAGGGGGCACCGGCTCTGATCCGGCCGCAGGGCACGGCTGGCTGGCTCAGGGAATGGGGCATGGGGCCGTTCCCCTCTAGGGGCACTGGCTGGTGATGCCAGTGGGTAGGGGGGCCCGCAGGGGTCTGTGGGTCCCCCCGAAGGCATGTGGGGTGTCCCCGGGGAAGCCTGTGGAGTGCTCAGTGGGCCTGAGGGGCAGACCCAAGAGGTGGGATGCAGCGTGGCTGGGACACAGGGCTGGGGAGCTCTGGGGGGGGGGAACGTGGGGGTGGGCAGCCTTGCCCAGCCGGGGCGGGGGCCGCTCAGCTTCATGGCAGTGCCTGGGTGAGAGAATATTCCACCCCCACCCACCTCGGCCCTCCAGCCGCGTGTGGTGCAGGCGGCAGAAGGGAAGCTGGTAAACTGAGGCACGCTCCGCCCGCGGCGAGGCTGGAGGTGGCAGAGGGGCACCGGGAAAGGCGGGGGCACTGGGGGCTGGCGGTGCCAGGGGAGGGGAATGGCCCAGCCCCCAGTGGAGCAGGACCCAGTGTAATTCCCCAGCAGCGACAGGCGCCCCCTAGTGGCTGCAGCCTGCGGCTTGGCCCCTCACCGGTGCACGATGCCCTTGCTGTGCAGATAGGCCACACCCAGGGTGAGCTGCGCGAACCAGCGGCCGGCCAGGGGCTCGGCGCAGGGCCCCGAGTTCTGGATCCACTCGAGGACGTCGCCGCCGGGCGCCAGCTCCATGATGATGTAATGGCGCGACGTGGTCTCAATGGCCTGGTAGAAGGTGATCAGGTACTTGTGGTGCAGACCCTTCATCACCTGTGGGCAGCGAGGGGTTAACGGTGCCCGCCTGCCCCACGGCGCCTCCTGCCCCACAGTGCCCCCTGCTGAGCCCACAGCCCCACAGCGCCCCCTGCTGTTCCCCCTTGGCCTGCCCCTACCCACAGTGCCCCCTGCTCCATAGCGCCCCAGCCCCACAGCGCCCCCCTGCTGTTCCCCCCTGCCCCACAGCGCCCCCTGCTGATCCCCCCTGCTGAGCCCACAGCCCCATGGCGCCCCCTGCTGATCCCCCCTGGCCTGCCCCCTGCCCCACAGCGCCTCCAGCCCCATGGTACCCCTTGCCGAGCCCCCAGCCCCACAGCGCCCCCTGTTGATTCCCCCTGGCCTGCCCCCTGCCCCACAGTGCCCCCTACTTATCCCCCCTGGCCTGCCCCCTGCCCCACAGTGTCCTCAGCTGATCCATCCTGGCCTGCCCCCTGCCCCACAGCACCCCCTGTCCCATGGCACCTCCTGCCTAGCCTCCAGCCCCACAGCGCCCCCTGCTGACCCCCCTCTGCCCCACAGCGCCCCCGTCCTGCCCCCACAGCATCCCATGACGATCCCGCTTGCCTGGCTCCCCACCCCACGGCATCCCCTGACCAGCACTCCCACCCCACGGAGCTCCCTAGCTACCTGGATCTCGCGGGGCAGGAATTTGTTGAGATAGTCCTCAGACGCCTTCTTCTTGGAGATGATTTTGATGGCCACCTTGGCCTTCTGCTTGGTGAAATAGGCCTCGTAGACAATGCCATAGGAGCCATGGCCGATGACCTTGCCCAGCTGGTAGCCGTATTGGTCCATGACGGACAGGTAGGGGGCCGAGGGGGCCGTCTCCACCATGGCAGCCTCTCGCCCCTCCGAGGGACTGGGGGGCTTTGTGTGTCCGGTGCCAGAGAGTCGCCCCTCTGGGGGCGGGGCAGGTGGTTAGAGCCTAGCTGGGACCCCCAATGAAACCCCTGGCCCCCAGTGGGGCTGGGACCCCAATGAGCCAACCCTGGGGCTCTGACCCACCTTAACCCCCCCATGGGTCTGTGACCCCCAGGAACCTTCCCACTCCCCACTGGGAACTGCCCTGGCCTCCCCCGGCTCCCCGCTGGGGCTGTGACCTCCCCCCCAAGAACTGCCCTGGCCTCCTCCGGCTCCCCGCTGGGGCTGTGACCTCCCCCCCAAGAACTGCCCTGGCCTCCCCCGGCTCCCCGCTGGGGCTGTGACCCCACTGACCCACCTCACCTGCTTCACTCTGTCCCCCGACCCGGTGACCAGAATCGCCCCCCAACCCCAGGGTTCTGCCAACATCGCCCCAGTGTTCCGCCGGCCCACATTGGCTGACACCTGTTACCGGGGCTACCGGGGGGCAGGGTTCCGGTGAGCACAGAGGCATTCGGGGGATACTGAGATATTGGGGGACACTGCAGAGGTCTTTCTTTGTAGGGGGAAGTGGGGCCTTGTTTGGGGATCACGAGGAAATCTGGGGGACGGTGGAGCATTGGGGGACTTATTTGGGGGGCCACAAAAGACCCTCATTTGTGGGGAACCACTGAGGCAGTGGAGGGACACTAAGGAATTTGGAGGGGTCTTAAATTGAGGAGGTAATGGGGCATCTGAAGGGCTCATAAATGGGGGTCTCAATTTGGGGAAGCACTGAGAAATTGGGGTTCCTTATATGGGGGCCACTGTTGTATTTGTGTCTCTGACTTTGGGGGGCAGTGAGGTTTTTGGGGCATTTGGGGGTCTCTTAATATGGGGGGCCATAGGGCTCAACTTGGGGGAGCACTGAAAATTTGGGGGTCCTTATATGGGGCCACTGTGGTATTTGGGGCTCTGAATTCGGGGGGCCACTGGGGTTTTGGGGTCTCTCATTTGGGGACATGGGGCTCAACTTGAGGGAAACTGAGAAACTGGGTTGTTTGGGGGGCCATTGGGATTTTGGGGGTTCAATTTGGGGGTCACTGAGAAATTGGGAGGTTAGATTGGGGCCAATGTGGAATTTGGGGCTCTTAATTTGTGGGATAATGGGGTCTGTAGGGGACCGTTATATGGGGGAGACCAGCTGCCACCTCCCCATTTGCTGCCCCGCCCCCCTAAACATTGACCCTCCTGGAAACAGCTGCCTGGCCCTTTAAGAGCGTGCGGGGCCGGGCCCCTCTCATGCGCCGGACGTGCGTCACGCTCTGGGCACGAAGCCTGCCAGGAGCGCTGAGGGCGGAAGTAGGGGACGGACGTGGCTCGGGCTGTCTTGGCGATCGCCTGAAGGACCCCGACGCCTTTTGGTCCCTGGCTCCGCCCAGGGAGGGATCCCGGCGGTGGGGGCTGCGCTCCCTGTTGGTGCGAATCTGGGGGAGCCGGCCTGGGGTGCGGCCAGCGGCGGGGAGGGGAGCGGGGGGACCCGAGGATCAGGCGCCGGGAAGGATGCTCTAGAGCCGCGAGGCCCCCAGGTTGGGTGCAATTGTCTGGCTGCTTGCCTGCTGCTAGGGACACCCCGCTGCCGGGCGCGGGGCCACGGGACCTTCCAGGCGGCAGGCGCGGCCCGGGCAGCCTCCGGTCAGCGGGGCGGGTCAGTGGTAGGGGGGCGCGAGGACCCCGGGGGGGTCAGTGGGGGGCGGGGCGCGAGGACCCCAGGCGAGGGGGCGGAGTCACTGGGGGAGGCGCGAGGACCCCGGGGGGGTCAGTGGGGGGCGGGGCGCGAGGACCCCAGGCGGGGGGGAGGGGTGAGGACCCTGATCCCTGTGTGCCAGAATGGTTTCAGAATGGTTTCCATGTGTAGTGTGCGTGCCTCAGTTTCCCCGACGTGCTGCACGAAGAACGACGGGGAGGGGCCGGCATCTGTGCAGAAGGCTCCAGAGATCCAAGGAAACTGAGGCACATGCTGCGTGAACACAAAATAGTCTGAAACCCCCCCGCTTCCTCCCGCCCTGGGCCGTCGGGGCTCTTAGGAGCTCTGTCCGGCCCCTCGAGTGTGGGTACCACGAGGGCGTTCGGGTCAATGGCCGCCCCGAGCTGGCACCATGGGCGCTTTGCCAGTCTCCGGTGCCGCTGGGACAAGGCGGGTCAGAGGAGCAAATCCCCAGGCTTTCGTCTAGGCTCGTTTGCCAGGGGCGTCTTACGCGCCAATTTCAGGTCCGGCATCAGGGTGGGCGTGCGGGGTAGAGGTCTCAGGAGCACGGGTTGGCGTGATCCAGGGATACCCCATGGCTAGAGCACCGCAGGGCGTGGCTGGGGGCTCTGGCATTGGGTGCTGACCATCCCAGGTGGGTGAGAACCCAGGTGTCCTGAGGACCTGGCTTCACTTCCTCTCTTCCCTTGTCTCCTGCCTTCCTTCTCCAGACCCCGCCCCATCTTCCCCTTCCCTGCCCATCCCATGGCGCCCCACCAGCCCTGGCTGCTGCTCCTCCTGCTGGCCTCCTGGTCACCCCCGGGCTCCTCTGAGACCCGCTACCAGCCCGGGGACCCTGTCGTGCTCTACGTCAACAAGGTGGGGCCCTACCACAACCCCCAGGAGACCTACCACTACTACCAGCTGCCTGTGTGCTCTCCGGAAAAGATCCGTCATAAGAGCCTGAGCCTTGGGGAGGTCCTGGACGGGGACCGCATGGCCGAATCCATGTATCAGATCCGCTTCCGAGAGAGCGTGGAGAAGACGGTCCTGTGCGTGAAGACGCTCACGCTGGATCAGGTAGACTGGGCCTGGATGCCTGGGTCCCATCCCTGTATCAAGGAGGGCGAGCGTGGGTCGATGGGTTTAGAGCAGGCGCTGGGACCGCCTAGCTTCTGTCCCAGAAACAGGGCATGGGAGCTCAGATCAGGAGCCAGGACTCCTGGGTTCTGTCCCCGGCTCTGGGAGGGGAGTGGGGTCTAGTCGTTAGAGCATGGGGGCCTGGGAGCCAGGTCTCCTGGATTATGTACCCAGCTCTGGGATGGGAGTGGGGGCTAGTGGGTGGGGACTGGGAGCCAGGACTCCTGGGTTCTGTCCCCGGCTCTGGGAGGGGAGTGGGGTCTAGTGGGAAAGACCAGGAGGGGCTGGGCGCCAGGACTCCTGGGTCCTACCCCGTCTGTCTCCCGGTAGGTGGAGCGCCTGCGGCAGGCCATTGAGGAGCTGTACTACTTTGAGTTTGTGGTGGACGACATCCCGCTGCGAGGGTTCGTGGGATACATGGAGGAAAGTGGCTTTCTGCCCCACAGCCACAAGATCGGGCTGTGGACCCATCTGGACTTCCACCTGGAGTGGAACGGCGACCGCATCATCTACGCCAACGTCAGCGTGCGGGACGTCAAGCCGCACAGCCTGGATGACGTCCGTGGGCCTGGGCCCCTCTCCCTGACCCACACCTACAGTGTCCGCTGGTCCGAGACGGCCTCGGAGCGGCGGGGGGAGCGGCGGGGCCGGGGAGACGATGGAGGCTTCTTCCCCCGCACCCTGGAGATCCACTGGCTCTCCATTATCAACTCCATGGTGCTGGTCTTTCTTCTGGTGGGCTTCGTGGTGGTCATCCTCATGCGGGTGCTGAAGAACGACCTGGCCCGGTACAACCTGGACGAAGAAGCTTCCTCCTCCTCCTCCGGGGATGACTTCGACCACGGAGACAATGGCTGGAAGATCATCCACACCGATGTCTTCCGCTTCCCGCCCTGCCGCAGCCTCCTCTGCGCCGTCCTGGGCGTGGGCAGCCAGTTCCTGGCACTGGGCACGGGCATCATCGCCATGGCCCTGCTGGGCATGTTCAACGTCCACCGGCATGGTGCCATCAACTCCGCCGCCATCCTGCTCTACGCCCTGACCTGCTGCATCTCCGGCTATGTCTCCAGCAACTTCTACCGGCAGGTCGGGGGCGAGCGCTGGGTCTGGAACATCGTGCTGACTACCAGCCTCTTCTCCGGTGAGGCCCTGGAGCCCTCCATCTCTGCCCAGGTTCCCCAGGGGTCCTCTTGCCCAGGGTAGGCGGGTTGGGTGCGCCAGGTGGGTCTGTGTGGTTGTTTAGGGTCTCTATGGCCTCCTGGGGTGATAGGTTACGCCTCTCTGGTCCCTTTAGGGAGGTCTCCATGATTCCGGTGGGAAGCAAAGAGAGTCTTTCTGGTCACCCTTTGGAAGTCTCTGTGGTCCCCTGGAGGAGGTGGTCTGGGTCTCTCTGGTCCCCCTTGGGGAGACTCTATGGGCCCTTGGGGAAGGTGGTCTGGGTCTCTCTGGTACCCCTTGAGGAATCTCTGTGGTCCCCTGGGGAAGGTGGTTTGGGTCTCTTTGGTCCCTCTGACCTGCCCCCTATTCTCCCAGCCCCCTTCTTCGTGACGTGGAGCGTGGTGAACTCGGTGCACTGGGCCAATGGCTCGACACAGGCCCTGCCGGCCACCACCATCCTGCTGCTGCTGACGGTCTGGCTGCTGGTGGGCTTCCCCCTCACTGTTATCGGGGGCATCTTCGGCAAGAACCGGGCCGGCCCCTTCGACGCACCCTGCCGCACCAAGAACATCGCCCGCGAGATCCCACCACAGCCCTGGTACAAGGCCACGCTGGTGCACATGACCATTGGGGGCTTCCTGCCCTTCAGGTGAGCCCCACCCCCCTGCTTTCTGTGTGCCTGCCACCTCACTTCCTGCCCTTCCGGTGAGCACCCCCTCCACTTCCTGTCTGCCATGCTCTCCATAGGAAGCGCCACTGATTCCTGTCTTACCCCTCATTGCCACTTCCAGCCTCACGGGTTGGCACTTTCGTTTTCCCGCTTCCTCTTACCTAGACAGTCATGTCACTTTCTCCTGAGGATGCCACTTCCTGTCTCGCCCTTCCCACTTCCTGTTTTTTGGGCACGTGATGACACCACGTCCTTGGCATGAGCCAATCATATCCCCTCACCTCTCCGGCTGGCCTATTTGATCCCCCGAACAGTGGGATCCCACCTCTGCCCCCCAGCTGACCCTGTCTCTCTCTTATCTTCCAGTGCCATCTCTGTGGAGCTCTACTACATCTTTGCCACGGTGTGGGG